ATCAGGAAGCCTTTTTCTCTAGCCAGTATAACCCATTTAGACTGCTTTTGTAAACAACACTGAAACATTTTATTGTAGTATCTGATCTCACTTCTGACATTCCATCCAACCCAAATTCAAAAACTCTTAGCAAGTTTCTTTATTTTTCATGGCTATGTAGTGTAGTTATCTGCATTAGTTCAGTAAGAATCTGTCTTCTGTCTTTTAACAGGATTTAAATGGATACATAGATTGAGCAATTAAGGTCTTCACTGGAAATCATATCTGAAAATGGCACAGTAGGTAGGACCAGATACTTCTAAGGAATAAGGATTGACTTTGCTTATAAAATCAATACCTACCCAAGGCTCTCCCAGATAAACTGGTCTGGTACTTTTTTTATATGGCCCAGTATTAGAAGGTACAAGGAAAACCACACTTCCTGAAAGGCCAGGAACATTAAAGCCATTAGAAGAAAGAAATTTACTCAAATTTCTAGGTGTTTGGAGGTGAAAAGTTGTAGACATCTGTTGCTTAATTTCTTATCCCACACAAAACAAAGAATAGACTTTTTCTTGAAGTGCTGGGGATCAAACCTGAGGCCTTACACACGCTAATCACACACTCTACTGACCCACACCCCCAGCTCTAAGAATAGAGGCTTTTAAAAGTTCAATCCAAAATTCTTACGAAAACTCCCAGTCAAGGGCCAGGGAATATAGTTCTGCAGTATGCAATGCCTGCCTGGCAAACGTGAGGCCCTGAGTTTGATTTCTGGGACCAAAAAAAAAAAAAGTGAAAAATTTCAGACAAGAGTTAATTTTGTAATTCAATATTACATTTGTGACTTTACATTTGCAAAACAAACTGAAGGTGGTTTACATTGTTAGTAACAGTTTTGTTACAATGATGAAAATAAGTAAGCCAAACATTTTAAGACCAATCTTCCTTGTAACCAAGCCTCTGAGATTATGATGATCATGAGGTGGATACAGGCTGTCAGAAAAAAAACGTGGAAAACTTTGAAATGAGCATAGACGATCACTGTCTCGCACAACCTTTCAAGGACCTATGCCTTTTATAGTCTTGTTTAATCTGTAACTCCGTGCAACGGATAGCAATGCAAAGGATTCTCAGTAAAAACACAAATGGGATTTTCCCCTCAATTATAACTGCTTATTGTTTTGTAGATACTGAGCACTTTTACATCTATTTGTAAAATAATTTTAGCATCTCTAATAATACACACAAACACACACACATACACATGTGTTCTTTAAATTTGCCTCTGAACTATAGTCTGACACGGTGGTACACCTGTAATGACTGCACTCAAGAAGCTAAGTTAGGAGGATCATGAGTTTGAGGCTACCCAGCGGTCCATACTGAGTTCAAGGTCAGCTTGAGCTACAGAGTGAGACCTTGTCTCAGAAAAAAAAGAAAGAAAAGAAAAACAAACTTTCTTCTAAACTCTTGTAACATATTACTGGTTCCTTTGATAATTAGAGATGTCAATAAAATCCTTGATTCCCATTGACTTAAAAATTAAAATCATAAAAGATAGTTGATTATACTTCTGGAATAATGAAATCTATGCATTTTAAAGGCAGTAGGAAGATAACAAAATTAAGTGAAAGATTAAAAAAGGAGATAAATTATATGAACAATGTAAAATCTGATAGCATATACAAGAACAATGAACACTAAACAGCACAAAATTTAGGTTTTAATAATTCAGAAACCTATCAATAATGCCCTGTGTATATATAGTGATTGTTTTTCAAAGGAAAACCAGCATTTCTGAAAAGCTCTCCTTAAATTATTCCCAAAATAAACCTCATTCTTATGGTAACTATTTTAACTTCAGCAAAACCATATAATACTCTCATCTCTTCTGCACCTGAAACTTCAGTTAATTCCAAGCAAGTCCCTTGACCTCTGTGATTTTCAGTTTGTTCAACTCTACAATAAGGACAATGACAAAACCTACCTCATAAGGTTGTTTTGAGAATTAAATCAACATATATAAACCAATTAGAAGAGTATATTGCTATTTCAGGAAGCCATAGTATAGATTCAAAGCATGCTGTAAGCAGTGCAGGCTGTAAAGAGTTAAATCCCTCAATTGGCTTATTTAAGAAGCAAGTCTGACTGAAGCTACGTGACTCACAGAAGCATCTCATGAGCACTAGGTCAACATGACCTCCCTTCTAACGGCCAGAGACGAGACCAGAGTAATGGCCTATGAACCTGCGGGGCTAATAGGAGACAACACGTGTAGCTGAGGTCAGAGTAATTTGCACTCAAATTCCATTCCCACAATTAGTGCCTTCATAGCTAAAGGACATTGTTCCAATTACAATCATATATTTTGTCCATCTTGCTTCTAATTTTAAAATGCTTTGTCTCTTCTCTTTTTTTAATTTAAATTTAATTTATTGGTACATTCTAGGTAGACAGGTAGTTACATTCATTACTGGGATCTTGTACCTTTACATGACAGGTCTTGGTTCTCATTTTTTCCCCTTGTTCCGACCCTCCCTCCACCCCCGCGTCCCCTCTCCCCTTCAAACACTTTAATTCCATTTTTACATTTTCTCATATTTTTTTTCCTGTTCCCTTATTCTCCTTTCCCTATCCTTCTCACTGTCCCTACACCTCTGGTCCTTTTCTTCCTATTTGCTAATTGTCTCCTTAAGATCTTGACTACTCTTTCAGTTTCTTCACACTACAGAAACTATTTGGTATTTGCATATGTGTGACTTATTTATTTCACTTAGGAGTATATCCTCAAAATGTACCTATTTACCTATGAATGGATCTTCCTCATTCTTTACGGCTGAGTAGTATTCCATTTTATACAAAAACCACATCTTCTTTATCCAGTTTCCAACTGATGGGTAGATGGGCTGTTTCCAAGTTTTAGCTATTACACACTGTGCCGCTATAAACACGGGTGCACATATATCACTGTGGTATGATTCTTTTAATTCTTTTGGAAAGATACCCAACAGAGGTATGACTGGGTCAAATGGAACCTCTAATCCTAGTTCTTTGAGGTATCTCCATATTGACTTCCATAGTGGTTGCACCAGTCTGCACTCCCACCAACAATGGAGAAAGGTTCCTTTCTCCCCACAACCACGCCAACATTTGTTGTGTTGTGTGATTTCTTGATAGCGGCCATTCTTTGTGGGGTGAGGTGAAATCTCAGTGTTGTTTTCATCTGCATCTCTCGAATGACCAGTGATGTGGAGCATTTTTTCACATATTTACTTGCTGCTTTTATTTCTTTGAGAAATGTCTGTTCATTTCAGATGCCCATTTTTTAATCAGGTCTTTATATTTGGGGAGACTGGTTGTTTTGAGCTCTTTATATATTCTAGATAATAGGTCCTTTGTCTGAGGAGCAGCTGGTAAAAAGTTTTTCCCACATTGTAGGTTGTCTCTTAATTCTGTTGATGGTTTCTTTTGCAGTGCAGAAGCTTTTTAATAAGATGAGATCCCACTTGTTGAATCTTTGCGCTAGTTCCTGTGCTACTGAGGATTTGTTCATAAAGTCTTTTCCTATGCCAATGTCTTCCACAGTTCTCCCTAACTTATCTTCCAGCAAGTATAGTGTTGTTTTTATATTTAGATCTTTAATCCACTTGGATTTTAATTTAGTGCATGGTGACAGATAAGGGTCTAGTTTTAATCTTCTGCAGGTTGAGATCCAGTTTTTCCAACACCATTTATTAAAGAGGCTATCTTTCCTCCAGTGGGGACTGTCAGCTCCTTTGTCACATATGAGGTAGCTGAGTGTGTCTGGAGTTGTTTTTTTGTCTTCCATGTCTCTTCTCTTTAAAGCCTTGCATGCTTTAATTTCCATAGTAACTGCACGAACTGCACATCCATACATGTATCACACCTTTACCCCAATTGATGAACAATAAAAATCATTGGATATGACTGATCAGAGTCTTTTGCTGGGGATCGAGCATTGGCCGTCCCAGTCACCACTTTCTCACTTAGATCTGCTTTTAGTTTATTTTTCTTCAACCACGTGTCACATACTGAGCAGATGGGGACTAGCAGCTTACTGCAGAGGTCTCTAGCAGCTCACAGCTATTTTTTGGGGGGGTGTTGAGACAGAGTCTCACTATGTAGTTGAAACTGACCTGCAACTCACTATGTAGCTCAGGCTGGTCTCAAACTCACAGCGATCCTCCTGCCTCAGCCTCCAGAGTGCTGGGATTACAGGTGTGCGCCACCACACCCGGCTTCACAGCTATTTTTATATGCTTTTAGTGTATGTTATAAAACACTGATGAAGTCATTCACCTCAAACTCAAGGTTAGTATTTGGTTTTTTAAAGGTTTTTTTTAATAAAATAACATAAATGGAAGACTAGAATCCTTTTTTCCTTCCATGTTTTCTTTTTGTTCATTATTAGAACCAATTTCCTGCCTTTTAATTCTCCTGATATTCTTTTCAATGCTAACAGACATTCAAAAAGAAACAATTACTAAAATAGGGTATTGTGAATGGGGGAAACTACTGCATACAAACAGACCTAATATGTGAGGTAACAAAGTGATCACATGGAATCATATATTGTGAAGGACAGAACTAGACCTCAAGTCCCTCCCAGCTCTGAAATTCTTTGAAAATATGAATATGAAAAGTCTTAGGAAACAGGAAATGTGAATCAGAAAGAAAAGAATTTGCTGTTGAGACAGTAAAAATAATATAAAAATGTGCCAATATTAAGCCTTTCTAGTTTTTTAAAACAAAAATTACATCTATTGCTGCTGAAATCATTTTTGGTGAAACATAGTTAAACTAAATCTCAAATCTTTCCTATATTCAACCTTTATGGAAGATAGATTTTATATATAATTTTCACAGAAAATTGACTCTATCTTTTCTAAAAGGGCTTTATAGGAAATAAAACAAACTTATTAAACACTATACCAATTTTTAAAAATAGTCATTTTTTTAAAATCATGACAAAAGATAATTATATTAACATAAGATACCTATATTTTGTAGAATTTCAACAAGTTTTTCTCTTTTTGAGTATTGGCCTACTTGGAGAATGGTCTGCTGAACATCTCTACATGCTCCACCCACTTGTCCAACAGCAACAAACAAATAATTTGACTTTAAAAATTCCGCAGCCAACCTTGAAAAACAAAAAGATAATTCTTTAGCTTATAGCTCTCCATTCACATTCATGATATGCACTGAAGTCCTACAAGTATTACATGCATATTAATTAGGCAGCAGATAACAACAGTGACGATAAAATAATGTGGTTATGTCATTCCAAGTATTATTTTCAAGGATAAGGATACTGTTGATGTTTTGCAAAATATATAATTACTACTCAAAGTATGTCAAATTACAGATACAGTAATTCTCAGTGGATAAGCTGTACATGAAAAACTAAATAAAATGTATATGTAATAAAAACATGTAAACTAAAATAAATATCAAGCATAACATGCAAGGTTAATAAAAAATTGAAATGTATAAGTAGACACAACTAGACTAGAGACATCTTTCCCCCAAGCAAGCAAACAGGCCCTATTGGAGGAGCAGCAACCCCACCCTAAACAAGCAAGCCATGTCAGATGAGTAGCACCCTCTCAAAACCAAAAGTAGGCTCACATAACTGCAACCTTGACAAAAGGGCATGATCATTTACCAACTCCAAGCTGGCTCTACATTTTGCTTCCCTATGGCAAAATAATTTCATGACAAAGAGCATCTAAGAAATTCATGACTACCAAACCAGCACTCTAAAAGTTCTCAAGGATATCCTAGAAAGAGACAATGAAGTTAGCAGTGACAAAAGGTCTAATAGTATGAATAGTAAGTTGGGCATAAAGTAGAAGCGAAAGACAGAAAATCAGCAGAAGGAAAATAAAACAATGATAGGAATAAGATAATACCTCAATAATAATCCTCAACGTGAATGGCCTCAGTTACCCAATCAAAACACAAAGACTAGTGAAGTTATGAAGAAAGAAAATCCAACGGTATGCTGTACACAACACATTCAATCCAAAAAAGAAAAGCAAAGACTAAAAATTAGGTGATGGAAAAAATATTATATACAATGGGAATGCCCAAAAAAGTAGGTGTAGCTCTCCTACATTGAGACAAAGTGGACTTTAAGGCCAAAACTGATCAACAGAGGAAAAGATCACTAAATATTGATTAAGGGAACACAAAACAAGAACTACTAGATATAAAAGAATAAACAAACATAAACAAAATAAGAGTGGGGGACCTCAATGTCCCACTATCATAAATAGATCAACTAGATAAAAAAAATGAAATTTCAGAATTGAACAAAACCTTTGAATATATGGACTTTATATCTACAGTGTTCCACCCAACAATAGAATACACCATCTTTGGAGCAGCACATGGAACTTTCCCCCAAATAGACCACACTTTAGCCAATAAAGCTTAAGTATAAAACAATTAAAATTATGCCATGCATACTATCACATCATAGCAAAATGAAGTTGGAAATAATAAATGAAAAAAGATGAATTATCCAAATACATGGAAACTAAACATACAGTCTTAAATAAGCAGCAGGTTACAGAAAAAATAAAGAAATGACAGTTTTCAGAAATAAATAATAATGTCAATGCAACATACCAGAACTTAGGTGACACAATAAAAGTAGACCAATGTTTATAGCTGAAAGCACCCACATCACAAAAACAGAATGAGTCCAAATGTAAATAACCTAACTATGCACATCAAAATCCTAAAAAAATAAGAATAATCTAAACCCAAGGCTAGTACAACAAAGAAAATTATAAAGATTAGAGCAGAAAAAAAATGAAATTAAGACCAAATGGGGGGGGAGCAAACAATGAATTGAAGAGTTGTTTTTTCAAAAAAATAAAACAGATAAATCCTTAGCCAATCTAACCCAAAAAGTAAAGGCACAAATCAATGCAATTAAAAATAAGAAAGATGATAGGTCTGGGGATTTAGCTCAGTGGTTCCGCTGCCTGCCTTGTAAGTCCAAGGACCCAAGTTCGATCCCCGGTGCCAAAAAAAAAAAAGAGAAAGATGAAATCACAACATACACTGCCAAAATGAAAAGATTATTAACAACAACTTTGCAAACCTGTACACCAATAAATTGAAGAATTCAGAACAAACAGATATATTCCTAGATACATACAAATGACCAACAGTAAACCAAGATTTTAAAACTCTGAATAATCTAATAACAGACAATAAAATTGAATGAGGAATTAACCTACCAACTAAGAAAAGATTAGTGTTAGATTCTATGAAAATGTCAGGGAAATTCTAACATCAGTACGCCTTCAGATTTTTTTTTTAGCCTCAGCCCTCTCAAGATTTTTTAATGAAATTAAAAGAAAGAAGTATTTCCAAAGTCATTCTTAGAAGCTAGCATTACTCTGATTCACAGACAAGGATCCAACCAAAAAAGGAAACTTACAAGCCAATCTCTCCAATGAACACAGATGCAAAAATCCTCAACAAGATACGGGCAACATTCACCCAACAAATGTAACAAATCATCAAAACAACAAATCATCAAAAAGATCAACAGTGGCAAAGATAGCTCAACATATGCACATCAATAAATGTAATATATCACATAAACAGAAGCAAGCACAAAAATCACATGATCATCTCACCAGATGTAGAAGTCTTTGACAAAATCCAACATCCATTCATGATAAAAACCCTGAAAAAAATAGGTATAGAAAGACCTTATCTCAATCTGATAAAAACTGTATATGACAAACCTACTGCCAACATATTAAATGGGAAAACCGAAGGCTTCCTCTCTAAAAATCAGAAACAAGACAAAAATAGCCACTATTACCATTCCACTTCAACAGTCCTTGAAACATTAGAAAGAGCAATTAAGAATGAAAAAGAAATAAATGAGTATGTATAGGAAAGAAGTCAAATTATCATTATTTGTAGATGATATGATCCTCTTCATAGAACACTCCCAAAATCCACTGAAATACTCCCTGAATTAATAACCAAATTCAGTAATGTAGCAGGATACAAAATCAACACACAAAATCAGTAACTTTCCTGTGTAATAATGAACCTACTAAGAAACTAGAGGAAAAAATACCATTCAAAATAGCACCAACATAGGGAAATGGATGCATATTGAGGCCATACTCTTACATGAAATAAATAGGACACACGTGTAAATACTGAAGAGTTTCTCTGATGTAATAAACTAAAAGTGTAAATAAGGTTCAAACTGTATAACTGATAATGTGAAATAGGAAGAAAAGGGCTAAAGGAATAGGGGAAGTGGGAAGGGTAGGGGAAAGGAAAGAAGGAAAAAAATATGAGAAAAGGAAAAAATGGAAACAAAGCATTTGCAAATAGGGAAGGGTGGAGGGGTGAATGGAGGGCAGGGATAGAGAGAAAAAATAAGAACCAAGATACATCATGTAAAGGTACAAGATCCCAATAACGTAACTGCACTGTATACCAATAAACTTAATGAAAAGAAATAGCACCAAGAAAAATTAAATACTCAGGAATTAACATGAAAAATCTCTACAATGAAAACTACAATTCTTGAAAAAGGAAATCAAAAAGGACATTCAAAAATGGAAAGATACCTTATGCTCCTGGATAGGCAGAAAATCCAATATAGTCAAAGTGGCTGTACTTCCAAAATGAAAACACAGATTTAATGTGATCTAGTGAAAACACCAATAGCATTCTTCATAGAACTAGAGAAAACGATCCTAAAATTATATGGAGTCAGAAGTGACCCAAAATGGCAAAATCCTGGGTAACAAGAGCAAAGCAGTCTTCTATAGAGTGCCACTAGATTATGTCTTCAGCCTTGTCTAGTTCATTGAGCAACTGAGGGTACAGGCAGCTAGGGTACACACTTCTTTGGTGTCTAGGAAAGGGAACCAATTTATTGTACAGCAGAGTGAAGGTCCAAAGGCTATAACAGTAAGCCAAACTTAACAGTAAAAATTTTAATAAAAATAAATGTAAACACCCTACATGAACATTTTTTTCATGCACTAAGAATGGAACCAGAAAAACATGATTAGGGTTCTAATTAAATATTGTGGGGTTGATTTCTTTCATGGAAGATTGCTGCAAAACATTTGCTGAATGCCATGTCAAGCATACATGGTACTGGGAACACAAAGATGAATATGTTGTCTGCTTCTGAAGTGCTCGTATTAAGTAGTGTAGATACAGTTATACAAAAAAAGCTTATAATCCAATGTTAGAATTAAATGTACTGAACATTTACTAAACTCCAAGAAATGTTCAGTGCTTTATGTTAGTTTCTTTGACAGTAACTGTTATGGTTTAGCATTGGATGTACTCCAAAAGTCTCATGTAATCAGAGGTGGGGCTTTTGGAATGTGATTGGATCATGGTAGTGCTATACTCATTAGCTAAATGTGTTGTTGGGAGGTGAGGCCTGGTTGAAAGAAGTGCCACTGGGGTCATGCTTTTAAAGGACATATCTTTTTCTTTGTGTCTTCTCTTTTCCCTCTGCTTCCTAGTTGTCATAGATTGAGAAGCTTTCCTCTCCAATTGTCCTTCCATCATGCTATTTTGCTTGGAGCCAGCTAACTATAGACTAAATCCCTGCAACCCTAAACCAAATTAAACCTCTCCTCCTTTAAGTTTCAAGTGTCTAGTACTGTGATCCAGTAACAGGAAAGTGACTAATACAACAATGCCCAGGCATGAAGTCAAAAAAGAGTCAAGTTTGAAGCTTGATTTAATGAAGCAGTAAGCAAGAAGGTGGACCTGAAAAGGACCTAAATTAAGGTGAGAAGTAAGAAGAAATTGATGGATTTGAATTATTTTAGGGATACCTGCCAGGATATTTTTGAGTATTTCTGAAGAACAGAGAGTTGAAGGGATTATAAAACCATAAGCCATTAATCCAAATAAAGAAGACTGGAAATATAGAGTTAAAGAAAAAGGCAAGTTCAATTTTGGACATCAACATGAGTTATTGGTATTCACTGAGAGGAAAATCATTCTCAGAGTTAAATATTAAATTCTGGACTTTAGGACAGAGACAGCAAGAATATAGAGAATAACTCTGAGAGTATTATACAAAAGAGCAGGCCAAGGAAATAGATGCTACAATGACCAAGGGAATATGCAAAATAAGAAAAAGACTTTGGACAGAATATTGGGCAACTGGTAATATAAAGGTGAGGAGTCAAGAACCAAAAGTGTAAATAATTCAAAGTCAGAGAATATTATTCTATCACATACCTCCAAGGCTAATAAACGTGGCCCCAACAAATAATACTGACTGGCAGTAGTACAGATTAGTCTTTTTTGGGTGTCCAACATCCAAATACCTTCCTATTGAAGGGTAAATCCAAAAGAGACAAGTAGGAAGAATATCACCTTCTAATTAATTAGGTAATTATCTATTAAATAGTACCAAAGGTAATGGCAGGAATGCAAATACACCATTTCAGATTTAAGATACAATTAAATCATTTAAAAATTACTTTATGTACCACTAGGAAAAAATGCCAACTTGACCCAATGCTTTGATTTAGATTACCCCCCAATAAATTCTTAATATCACAGAAAGATTTTTGATCATATTAATAAGTAAAACAAATCAATAACCAGAACCACTACTTCTAGTGTGTCTGATACAGTACCATGGGATCCCATTAACATTCTAACAAGCCAAGAGACCAACTATACAGCAAAGAAACAGACCTATAACCCTAGAATCCACAGGTCATGTCAAACACTGCACACCACCTATAAGCTGCCAATCTGAAAAAACAGTGGAACAGTCTATGGAAAGAATAACTGGTAGGCCATTTTGGAGGCGACTTTTTATGAGGAAAGGGTATTGTCCAACAAGACACAGCAAATCTTTGAATCAAAGATCTCTATATGGTAAATGAGTATGAGAACCAAGAGATGCAAAAGTGACATAGATACAATCAATCCCTTATAATCCAGTTGGGAATCTGAATTCCCACTCTTCTTTCTCCTACAAATCTACATTATATAGGAATGTAGTTCTTGACTCCCAAAGAGAATAGTTTCAATAAATAAAATACTAAGAGTCACACTAAATTTTAAGCTAATGCTGCTGCATAGACACTTTAGGATTCCCTGTGTCAAGCAAAGGACCAGCTGCTAGGAAGAAGAGTTGCCATCCTAGCCAAGGATGAGTGATTCTAATTTCTGAATTCATCAGACAATGTGTCATACAGCATGATCCTCAAATACTTGTCAATAATAGGAACCTACATATGAATTTTCTACCAAAGTTGCAATACTGCCAAATTCTATATATGTAGGTCTGTCTACAGACATACCACCCTGAACATGCCCAATCTCATCTATCTATTCAGGTCCAAAACTAGGGCATAATAAAAATAACTTCATTCAGTAAGCACTTATTAAGGCCTACATAGGCGCTTCAATGCGCTTCAACATACACATTAAACAGAATGTGATTCTAACGGGCAAAAAAGGTAACAAAGTAAGAAACAATGAAAAATGTGGTATGCTTCTTAGGAGTAAACCAAGTTTTTAAATTACCTGTGTAAAAATCTTTAAAAATAGTCAAATCTCTCAAAAAGACTATTTACATTGCTTCTATTTCCATAAGATATTTACATACATAATTAAATTATTTTTAAGAAGAAACAAAATTTACCTTTGAATTTCTTCTGGAAAAGTTGCACTGAACAAAAGAGTTTGACGTTGTTCCTTTGTTGGCATTCCTGGGCAAGAAATTAACTTCTTCATTTCTGGTCCAAAACCCATATCCAACATGCGATCTGCTTCATCTAAAACTAAATACTTGACTTGCTTGAGACCAATCTGCAATATTTTTAAAGAATGGAAAAAATGCATATTAATTTATATTAAATGATAATATTCTCCACAATTCCAACTGCTGTAACATTTTTAGAGACAAAGACTAGAAATCAATGCATAAAATGAAAAATATGATCATCATAGATAAATACTATTAGTATTTATATGTATACTCAATTTTTTCTAATATATAAAACATTTTCTAAACTAAGACTTAATAAAGTTGGGCATGGTGGCACACGCCTTTAATCCCAGCACTCTGGAGGCTGAGGCAAGAGGACTGCCACAAGTCCAGCCTGGGCTACATAGTGAGTTCAAAGTCAGCCTGAATTACACAGTGAAATCATATCATAAAATCTGAAAGAAAAGAAAATATCTAGATCACTGTTATACAACTTGCAGCAATTACTTGGAAGTTCTATTATCTGCATTAACATACTATAACCACTAGCCACATGTAGCTATTAAGTACTGAAATACAGCTATTGTAACTATGGAATTAAAATTTTATCATTTTAAAATTTAAATAGCCATATACACCTAATCATTACTTGTACTGGAAAGCAAACCTAAACTGTACTATCTGATAAAGACAGACTCGTTAAGAAAAAAAAAATCCAACATTACATATTCAAATGTCTTAGAACTTAATTTTTTTCTAGTCCCTGTAAATCCTTAATAAAGTCTCCATTCTCAAAAATTAAAATTAAAAAAATTAAAGACTCCATTCTCTAATTAGTCAAACAGCTAGGAAATTCCTCTTACCTTTGCATGAACATTTATTGCTATAATGCAGAACATATTTGCAAAAAGACAAGTGACTATGGTACTGTGGTACCAGATGAAGATGATTAGGAAGATGGCTGAAGATAGTTAAGAAGAATTTAAGAGATGGATTTCTCTGGATACTCTGTTTTTCCCCACAACACTAGGGATAGTCTTTGCACTTACATCCCTAGTCCTTTTATTATGTTTTAAATTTTGAGACAGGATCTTGCTAAGTCACTAAATTCCCCAGACCAGACTTGAACTGGCAATTCTCCTACTTGCCTCCCATACAGCTAAGATTACAAACACTGCTATGCCCAGCTTCTAGATACTTCTAATAAATATCTTCAGAAAAGTGCCTTTGTTCAGGAAGAGCGTATTTTAAAAGGGCATTTAAAAAAAACAGATAAGGTTTATTAAAGTGAAAGACAGTACTGATAATTTAGTATGTGAATTATTTATTAGTTATGGTATTAGGGTTTGAACCCAAGGCCTTCACACTTATAATTACACCCCAATCCTTATTTTTTAGACAGGGTCTCAGTAAGTCTATATTGGGCTCAAATTTGTAATCCTCATGTCTCAAGAGTACTGGAATTACAGGTGTGGGCCACCCTGCCCAGCACTATGTGAATTCTAAAGTTAATACATAGCACTAGAATCTCTTCTTGAAGATTAGAAAATTAACAATCTTGATTAATACCACTCACATGCTTAAACAGGAGATAAAACTACTGATGTCACAAAGAGTTTCTTGGAAGTATTTCATCAAGTCAGATATGAAACTAGATATAAGTATCTATTGCATTTTCCTCCCAGTGTAATGAAGTATAGTATATGTATTTTGGACTCAAACCCAGATTCTTTTTCTTTTTATTTAACCATTTATTGACATTTGTTACTTGTACAAATCAATGGGTATCACTACAGCCATTTCCTTACATGGATATATGCTGTGTTGATCACGTCTGCCCCCAACATCTACCATGTCTCACACTCCCTCTCCCTTTATCTCCAGCCCCCTTCAATCCTTAAAGGTCCTCCTTTTACTTTCAAAAAACCCCATTTCTAACTCTATCACATACTAGAGCTAAGAGAGGAATTTTACATAAATGATATCATCTCACAGAGTTTGTATAAAATGGAAAATTTCATGTCCTACAGGACTATCTGAATGAAAAGTAACTGAAGGAATCTGATGGAGCCTAAAATGTAAATAAGGATTTTAGTAAACTTTTCTATTAAATAATCTTCATTACTCCATTCCTTTCCACTATAAAAAATCATCAATCTCACAACTTTGTTATCCCTCCAAAGCCTACCTTTTCTTTACCTATGATATCCATCAATCTTCCAGGAGTTGCACATAATATGTTACAGCCTTGTACTATTTGTCGGATTGAATGCCCCAACTGTGTTCCCCCATATATGACAACAGCTCTTACACAAGTCCTGTTGACAAGAAAATGTTATTTTCTAGTTATGTAAAAATTAGACATTTGTTTCTAACACAACAGAAATCCATAAAGAAACACAGTCAGCTGCCTAACAAATTCTGCCCAGGAATAAGCTGAAAGAGTAATGCTGAAAACTAAATGTCAAACAGGGGAAAATATTTTGCAACCTATCTGAGAAAGTGTTCTTCAAAAACACTGAGAAACAATACTACGCTCCCTTGTCAAATTAAAAAAAAAAAGCCAAAGACATGAATCAATGATCAATAAAAATACGAAAGCTTTGAAACATTTAAAAAAGCTCAATATTACTTTTAAAAGGATGACAAATGAAAAGTAACACTACAAAACAAAGTGAGAGTACCATGTCAGCTAGGTATAGGTTAATTAGCATTCAAGAATACACTGATACGAACAATTTTAGTCTATAAACAAAAATTTATCCTTTTACCCACTAAAATCACATCTAGAAATTAATTCTTCAGAAACGTTCCCACAAATGGTCAGAGATGAATGTATAGCAACATATACTGCCACCATTATTTTCAGTATAAAAAGACTGAACTAAGTGTTTGTAAGTAAAGATTAAATTATAGTACATACATTCCAAGGCATACAATGTATTCATTTCAAAGGGCTACTGTTCTATATTAAACATTATCTCCAACATATACTGTTAACTGTTGAAAAACCAAGTTTCTCAGGTGTGAACAAATAAATATGCTACCATTTCTTGAATGGAGGATTGAAGTGGACTCCTGAGTACTGGCTATTTCTGCAGTGATATATATGAAACTGTTAATAGTAACTGAAGAGGAGAATCAAAGTAATAGGGAAAATGTATGTTTTAATAAATAAGCTCACTGTTTTAAATGGCTTGTTATTTACTACAGTGAGGGTTAAATGACATAAATATATTGTACATATATTCTCTAATTCTTAATTCCTAGAAACAGACACAGTAAATGTTTACTGTTTTAAGCAACTAGCTTTTAAGACAACTTGTCAGGTAGCAAAAGATAACTAATATAATACCAAATGTTGGCAAAGGGTGTAGTGGAACTGGATTTCTCATACAGTGCTGGCAGAAATACAAGCTTTACAAATTCATGCTTTTAATATTAAAATTGATTTTAAATCTACAGATATACTTAAAACAAAAATTAGCCAGGCATAATGGCACAGGAGCACACACTGGTAGTCCCAATAATTAGAGAAGCTGAGGTAGAATAATTGCTTGAGCCCAAGAGTTCAAAGTTAGCTGGGCAACACAGCAAGACTTTGTCTCATTAAGAAAAAAAAAAGACAGCCGGGTGTCGTGGCGCACACCTGTAATCCCAGCACTCAGGAGGCTGAGGCAGAAGGATCGCTTTGAGTTCGAGACCAGCCTAGGCTACATAGAGTTTCAGGTCAGTGTCAACTACATAGTGAGACCCCGTCTCAAAAACAAACAAACAAACAAAAAGACAAGGCAAAAACATTTATTTGACAAGATGTTCATTATGGTCCTACTTACAATAGACCCAAGTTTAAAAGAAGCTAAAAGCCTTGAAATAAATGCTAAAGCTCTGGGTTTACACTCCAGTACCACAAAAAATAAAAAATAAAATGTATACACACAATTTTTAAATCATTAAAAATTGGGTCTAAGGGACAGGGACTTGGCTCAGCGGTTCGGTGGCCTGACTTGCAAGCGCAAGGACCCGAGTTCAATCCCCGGTACCAAAAAAAAATTGGGTCTAAGGGACAGGGACTTGGCTCAGCGGTTCGGTGGCCTGACTTGCAAGCGCAAGGACCCGAGTTCAATCCCCGGTACCAAAAAAAAATTGGGTCTAATTGTGCAAAAGTAGTTTTCCACATAATGAAGTTATAGGTAAAAGAGTAATTATTCAGAATATCCCAAGTTTAGTTTTTAAACGTACTGAAAAAATGTATCAGTATTTTCACTATTGTCCATATTATCTAATTTTAACAAGTATATTTCTTTTAAAAATACAAAGGATTCTATAAACAAAATTAAGAAAAATTATTTCAGTCACGTAATGCTACAAATTACATGAGTTCATTATTACTGAGCTCTTCTCAAAATAAATAAGAAAAAAATCTCTCAGAAAAACTATTTCAAGTAGCATTCCAAATGTACTTACCCATAGGAAAATTTTCTGGCTTCCAAGTAAATCTGGTTGATCAATTCTCGAGTTGGTGCTACAATAATACATTCTGGTTCCTGTAGCTCTTTAAAGCGACTGGAAGTTATTCCATCACGCATCATATGAGCCAAAATCGGCAAGAGAAAAGCCGCCTAGAAGTTAAATTGCCTAATTTACAGATTTATAGTGCATCACTCTTGTCCCCATGGAAAGCTATTCTTCATGCCCTATAGCCTTTGAGATTCTTCTTCCATCTTACTGGTATTTTTAGGTTGAGAAATTAAAATAGTTTTTGCTTCAACAAGTTAACATTTAAGTCTTTCTTTTTATATTATACAACATAAGATGTTTGATAAAATTAGTTACCCCCCAAAATATTTTTCAGTCTTTTAAGAAAAGTATGCCATGTGTTCTAAACAGATCTATTTATAGAGAGACATCTAGCTATAATTTGATGCAAATTACTGTACTTAACAGTTACTCTGAGTCTTTAAGAAGTAAAAATTATCACAGATAGAGAAAAAGGAATCTACAGGCAGAACAAATTTTGGAAATTATTATTTGTATTAATAAACATATCACTCTACTGAAGTTACATCAGACAAAAGAAATTCTGTGCTGCATTTTTCTCACCTAAGCAAATAAGACTTACTAAAATTTAACTTCAGAGCATGTTTAAGTCATTCATCAGCTGGTATGTTACAAAATTCATCTATTGTCCCTTCAATTTTCATATGGAGACCAGTTAAGACTAAAATAGCATGAGGACCGGAGATTTAGCTCAGTGGTGCAGCCACCTGCCTCACAAGCACAAAGTCCTGAGTTGAATCCCAAGTATAAAAAAAAAAAAAAAGAGATTAAAATGGTATGAATCAGGACTACAATCTGGAAACAGAAGTCTCATCTCATGGACCCTATTGAACAAGCCCCCCAGATTAACACTAAAACCAACCTGGTGCTATATTTCTCTTAGAATTACCAAACCTGAAGCTGGTTTAACACCAAGGACCTTGTATAATGCATACAGATATTTTTCACTCTTCATCTTCTGACTCCAAAATTTTATTGACTGTATTACATAAATATTCTCCCTCTCTCCATGTTTTATAACCTCTGGTGCTTTGATCTTCAATCATTTTGTTTTATATACTACTACATACCAGAAAGAGTTGAATACACTCAGAAACAAATTAACCATCCATGAAATACAACACTATCCTGGAAACAGTTCAAAAACTCCTTTAGCACCACACAAAACCCAATAAAACCAAAAATCAGGAGCAAAAACATGAATATTTATGACAGTTTAATGAAATTATCTATTAAAACTTCTATCTAACAAGAGAGTCAAGCTACAAAGCAGCAAACAGAGAACAGTTTAAATATATAGCAAAATACATTTAGAAAAATTACTTACAGTCTTCCCAGATCCTGTTTGAGCACAAGCCATCAAATCTCGACCTGCTAGTGTAACAGGAATACTATATTTCTGCACAGGAGTAAGCTTAGTATAGCCAGCTTTAGCAATGTTGTTATTAAGTGTCTGACCAAGATTAGCTTCCTCAAAAGTCTAAAAATAGAAAAGGGTAATGATTAAATTCCAAATATTGTATGTACATCACCTTATAAACATATTCCATCCGAGCTAGTTTAAAATTTTGTTCATTCCACCTTACATACTAAAGTTACCAATATACTCCACTGTTTATCAGGACTTGATAGAATTAGACAGTGGTTCTAAAAACATTTTTGCTCCTTCAAATCCTGTAAGACATTAAAAACTCTCATCGATAACAAAGGCTTTTTATAATTATTAAGATGAGACAGAAAGTTCTCCTAACTCTCCTTAGAAAATGTATTTCCCCAAAACATATTTTTCTCACATACTTAGGATATAAACATCTTTAAACTCTAGGGAAAAAAATCCTTTTTTAACAAATTTAAATAAAGTTTCCATTTTGGTATTGGGAACTGGAATAAAATGCAGCAATACAAAGCAATTAATTCTATACTTCCAAAGACTAAACCTTCCCACCAAACACTAAAAATGAATTTTTGTGTTGGTATAAACTTAAATAAATATACCAAATATTTTTAAATGAAAGTTTGCTATGTATTAATACAGAAACAATATACTGACCAGAATTGCTGGTGGTGCATCATGTCCAGAAACTTCAACAAGAATAGTGTCATATTTGTCAAAGTTTATGCCTGTCTGATAATGTGAAAAGATAGAGTCCTCATCCTCTGGTGGAGGTGGAGGTATGTAAGTCACTTTTGGCCCTTGGAATTTAAATTAAAAAACAATTTGTGTTACACAGACTAGAAGAAAAACTAAGAAAACACATGAAAATTGACAAAAATCAAGTTTTAAATATTGTAGAACTTTCCACTGCTTATAACTAATTTTTTTACTATTCAATCTTTTAAAAATTAAAAACATAACTAACACTTCTTTTAAACATTTCACATTTTTAGTGAATGCAATATACATTCATCTGGACCATAAAAACATTAATATACCTTGAATATCACCACCTTCTCCTCTTTCAGCTTCTGACTTCCAAGAATCTTAAAGGAGATCAAAAAGAGATTTTTTTTTAAATTAAGGGGTAAAAGAAACTTGTTTTTTATACAAAATCAAATACTTTACCTAAAGTAAAACTTACTCTTTCCAGAGCCTGCTATTACTTCTTCATTTAAACCTTTGTAACCACCTATTAAAGAAATTCATAGCAACAGTCAAGAATTGTGTCTTTACTTTCACTGGTTGTCTTCTAAGCAGAAAATTTCTCAAAATGAACAGGCATCTTTAAAGTCCCTTCCTGCAAATAATACTACATAAGGTAAAATAAGTAAAAGTAAACAGAATCTTAAGGACTTGGGGTACACAGCTCTGTGGTAAAGTACTTGTTTAGCAAGTACAAGGCCCTGGGCTGGATAGCTAGTACCTAAAACACAAAAAAAGAAATAATAGTGTCTTACATATTTTAAGTTTTCTTAGTACCAAAATGCCGCTTTATGGCAAGTAAGACTATTCTAAATTACTATATTTTTCTTAAGCTGTTATATCTTTTCTGTGACTAGTAAAGGAATATATTTTCTAAAACAAACTAACAGTCTGGTTGGAGATCCCTAAGACTATCAATGGTTTTAAGTCTGTAACTTACTAGGAGAACTCACGAGACTCACAATATAGTCGTATTCATGACTATGGTACAATACAATGGAAGAACAGGGAGCAAAATCAGCAAGAAGGAAAAGAACATGCAACAAAGCCCAGAGAGAAAACTAGACACAAGCTTCCAAGCATCTTCTCACCCTGGAGTTACAGAGTTGTGCAGTAGACGTTAAATGTTATCTACCAGAGTACATCAGAGAATTAGTGCCCAGAATTATCATTATGCCCTTGCTGTCTAGAACATACCATAACAAAATTCCAGACTCCCAGGAGTAAGCAAATATAAGCATAACTATAGTGTTTGTACAATTTAGATACAATGAATCTCTCAATTACAATGGTGGTAGCCTGTCCTAAATCCAAACTGTCAGATGCTAGTTCTGATGGTTAATTTTAAGTGTCAACTTGACTAGATTAAGGAATACATAGATAACAACTATCAACATTATTTCTGGTTACACCTATGAAAATATTTCCAGAAAATACTGACATTTGAATCAGCAGACAAGAAGGAAGATTCCCCCCTCATGGAACATGAGCAGGCAGCATTCAATCTGCCAAGAGATAGACAGAACAAAAAGGCAGAGGAAAAGCGAATTCTCTTTTTCTGGAGCTGGCCACCTTCCTCCTTCTCTCGAAAATTGGAATTGTAGGTTGTTGTCCAGGTACAGTGGCACATGCCTATAATACAAGAACTCCAGAGGCTCACTTTATAGCTTGTTTTTGTTTTTAGATAACTAATTATCTATTCTGCCACTTTCAGGTACTATGACTATAGTAGATATAAAAGCTAATCAGATACCACATTTTTTACATATGGCCTGTCAATAATTTTCTTGATTTTATTTCCACAGGTCTTGAAATCCTCTTTGTAAGATGTTAATATTTGTGGAAGATTTGACTTAACTAGCTTGTGACTTTATTTTACTATGATACTGGAGATCAAACAATATGGGCCTTGCATATGGTACACAAGTGCTCTACCACTGAGCCATATCCCCAGACCTAAGGTTTAGGTCATCTTTAAAAAAGCTTTTTCTGTATTAAAGCATCCAACAAGCTGAAGGAAGAGGCACTGTCGCCACTCTCAAAATAATAATAATTAACAATCTGTGAAGATATCAAACAAGCTTTACTGGCTTACTAGTCTGGAAAGCATTTTAACTTTTATATTATACTTAAGTATTTACAAATCACATATATTGAACTTATTTTTTTTTAACAAATCACATATTGAAAAAAAATTTTTGCGGTACCAGAGATCGAACTCAGAACCTTGCGCTTGCAAGGCAGCTGCAGTGCACCACTGAGCTAACTCCCTGGCCCACATATATTGAACTTTATCCCTTAGACCAAATAATTATCCTATGATGAGAAACACTTTTTCACAATGATTTGTACATACAAATATATCTCAATATTTAACATCTGCACAGTAACCCACTTTTGTGTTAAACAGTTATTTACTGGTAAATTTTGGACAATTTCAGTTTTTACTTAGTGTAAATGAAGACTCAGTGCATGTACTAAAATATCTATAGTATACAATTCCTGATAAAAGTGCTAGACTGAAAAGGAAATAAACTGGAGATTATCAAGGATCTTTCCAATATTGGCTATATAGATTTATACTACTCAGTTTTTAAAAGTAGTAATAGTTATCGAATTTCAAAGTTAAATTCAAGTTTCAGTGACTTTAGCCTCAGAGAGGTTAATCAATTAAGAACTTACCTCGTCCACGTGCACTGCCACTTCTGCTGCGGTAAGTGTCACCATTACCTGGACGACATTGTTTGCAAAATATTTAGCGAAAACACTCATCTCCCTCAAGCACATAAACTATACAGCTATCTTTTTATCAATATAAAGTAATTACTTAGCCTCTCTAGATCCTTCATTCTGTTTTTGTAATTTAAATCTTACTTGAATTTTTTCATCAATACCTGTGTTCTATTTCATTTTCTTTTCAAATTAATTTCTACCTCAGAAACCATTCTTTGAAAGCAGAATAAGCTTCATTTTCCTTCACCACTTAAAATTGTAATTCACACCTCAAATTAACTGGCAAAAAACATGGAAAAAGTAATTTACAATACACAAATTTTACAGAGAATGCAAAATTATTCATATATTTTTGACTACAGATCTAGATAAGAAAGTAAAATCACTACCTAACATACTTAAATATCTATATATTAAGTTTGCTAATTCCAGTGATAAAAACATATGTGAATAATATACATTCTTAATTCTATTTCTCACCTGTACCACTTACTGCTGTTCTTCTAGAACCAAAAAGGCCACCAGTGCGCTGTGCTCTCTCATCTTGGTCACATTCATTATCTTTATTTGGAAAAAGTAAAACTAGATTATGTTACTTTTAAGAAGCTTTTCATTATTCAGTAAAGTTAATAGTGTCAGAAATTAAAAGATGTTGGGTACAATAGTTTTAAAAAGAATCACAATGAGTACTTTTCTAAGTATCACACAAAGAATTTCTCTATAAATTATGCATATCAATTACCAGTTCCTTGTTTTATTAAAACTATTTTATAAAATAAGTTAGAGCCAATACAATGCCAAAATAGAAGCAAAAGATAAATCTCCTCCCAAAAGTAGCACTTACTGCCCCCAGAAACTTCACACTGCATCATACTGCTTATTGTCCAGAATAGCACCCTTGCTCTACTGCCAAATCTAACCTAATCAGCTCTACATAGAATCCTTCAGATCACATCAGTTTTTTAAAAAAGGAACAATTTACTAACCTTTTATACATGTATTATTACAAACTCATTGATGTTTCTAGCATCGAAAACCATTAATCTGTCCTTCTAAGTAAGAGATACATGCATTTGAACTGATTTCTGAAGAGAGTACACATCTAAGAATGATGGTTGGTGGAATTTATGGTAAAAAGCCATATGAAAGGCCAGCTATTAATAATATCAGCTACATTAGCAAGGCTCCAAAACACTTAACCATATATATACTAAAAACTGAGGCACACAAACTTCTGAGAAAAGTTAATTCTTCCAACTTAACCAATATACAATTATGTGACTAAAAATGTTATATACAATGTCAATTATTCATTTGTATCAGCCACTGTGTTAATAAATTTAATCTTCACTTTATGTGACAGTGGTCTTTTTTAATCATTTCCTTCTTAACAGAACCACACCATTTGCAACACACTACTAACTTGATCTTCCTATGCCAAATCCTCCACGGCAACCTCGGAAACTACCTCTTCCACCTCTTCTGGATGGCCCTGAAGCTTCTGCATCATTTCCATCTTGATAGCCTATAATATTAAAATACACAGACAAGAATAACACATAAGAGTAGTAATAAAGAAAGCTTGGAAAACATAGTAACCAAATTTAATTTACATTCTCCACAACTCAATGACTATAAGCAAACACTGTAGAAGGCATTAACATGTTCCCACTGGCTTGAACCACCATTGGTACATGCATGACTCTCCCTGAGCAGCTTGTACCACTGACAGTACAAACATATCTAACCATTTTTGTTGGTCTTTTCACTAATAAAAGTCTACAAATGGACAGTCTAGTTAGTTGCTTGAATATGAATATATTATTGGGAATTTCTAAATATTAATATTATTCACATCAATTAAAAATTATTACAATAGGGAACACTCTGCTTCTTGGCAGGAAGGCAGTTGTCTATGCCAGTGCCACCCCATGCCAGGACAAGTGGGTTACACACAAAGTCACTCCCTGGGGACTGCCCTGAGCTGGCTCAAGCAGCTGCACCCTCACCAGCTCAGAAGCAGGGGCTGAGATGGTGCCGGTGGGCAGCTGCTGGTGTAGATGACCCAGGCCAGGGTCTGAGAAGATCCTACCAAGTGGTGCTTCCCACCCTTGGGGGTCGGGATTCCCAACCATGGACTTCAATCATTAGGGTCCAGCTGCGCATGCCTGACGACCCCAAACCTTGAGTCTTCTAAGCCTTGGGCCTGGCAGGAATGTTCAAAAATGGGTACCAAGGAGGTGCATTTATTGAAATCTTTATTTCTCAGGGCAAAACTCCTGCAGAAAAATGGAAGATCCTTGGCAGTCCTCTGATTTGGAAAGAGTCTGATAAAGAAATTTTAAAAATTTGTGTTTCTTCTGCAAGGTAGCAGTCAAACAAAATTCAATTACAAAAGGAAAATAAGCAAATCTATGGGGTGATCCAGAGGTTTCTTGTATTTCAGATATACATAACCCTGGGACAGGACATCACTACTGAACTGCTAATTACTGATTTAAGAACATCAAAAGAAGACTTAATTTATGGACAATTTGTAACTGTCCTCAAGCCCTCTTGATGCAAAAATCCCACTCTTCATGATCAAGCACAAAATTTGGTGCAATCTGTGCAAAGACTTGGCGGCATATACCAGTGAAATATTCAAGAGGGCAGTTTTCCAGTCACTACATAGCATTATTATCTCAGCTAATTGTAAGCCACAGAAGATATTCCTCTTAAAATCAGAGCCTCAAACAATGCTGATAAAGATGAACCTACAGACATTATCCTGCAAAGCTGCCAACTAACAACAGATGTTCCACATCGCACAGATGCTAAACATGACTAAACTTCATCAAACTGAAATAAACTTTGGAGGACATCCACTAAGATCAGCAGAATCTGTAGATGCACCTGGGAAAACTAAAAACCCATCTATCTGTACATTCACCCACTTTGCAGGTGAACAGCAAGGGGTACAGGAGCTGCAAAGCAACAACAGGGTAGTTTTACCCATGAAATGCTCAGTGCTAAATTTCTGTCCATTTAGGATTTGTTTTTAATCTAAGGTTTTCTTTTTATTTTTTCTGGTAGAAGTACTCCAATTCAGTGAAAAATAAAATTTGCAAGTTTTTGAGGAGGTCAAAAGTGAATCATTGGAGTACTCATGCATGGATAATGAAGATGATAATGATTTTTAGGTTGGCCATGTGAGCCAAAGTTCCTGTGACAGTGAAATTGAGCAAGGATTGATACACGTACAGGGAATGCAGACCTCCTTGATTCAGATGACAAAGAAAACAGCAATGGGAATGCATACTGGACTACTTGAAATGTTGCAAAATGGTCACGCAACCAAATGGAACAACCCAGTGTTAGCACTAGGTCTAAAAATATAGAGAGGATGTTGGCAAGAATGAAGCCTACTGAACAGAATGCCAGCACTGCCCTTCAATGTTGGAAATTGTAACAGACGAAATACTACACGATGTTGTGAGATACACAAAGGCTGAAATACAGGTAAAACATTCTGTATGCACCAACAGCCACATTCAAAATGTATTTATTATGACACCTCACCAGCTGAACTGAATGCATTCATAGATCTGCTATGCTTAACAGGAATGTCTCATGGTAATGACAGGAATGTAAGACTTCTTGAAAAATGATGGGTCAAATATAGCATAAAAACATATGCTCTTCTAGATGCAAAGAAGATGCAAAGACTGATTATGCTTTCAATTTAGAAATGTATCCTGGAACTCAGCCACCAGGTCCTTATTCATATAGCAATAAACTAAATGATGTTGTGAGCAAACTTGTTACTCCCTCTCCCAAACTAACTGGAATGTGACATTTGTCAGTTGGTTCACCAATTTGCAATTGATGTTATGCTTGCTAATAGAGCAGAAGTTGACTGGCATAGGAACTGTGCTCAACAACAAAGCAGAAATTTCAAATGAAATGTTACAATTTCAAAACAAAGAATTACAGAGTACAATCTTTGCATTAACCTCATATATGGCAAAGAAAAACAAACTGGTACCACTGATGTCAACATTGCTCAACAATGGACGTATTAATAGGGAAACCTTGGCAAAACAGAAACCAGATATGGAAACTTTCTACAACAAAACCAAAGGCAGAGTAGATGTTGTTGATGAGTTATGCAGAAAATATGATGTCACTCAAAACACAAGGCACTGGCCAATGGTTGTGTTTTACTCAATCCTAAACATGTATGGCATAAATAGTTTGATAGTTTACACAGAAAATAACAAGTGCAAAATACCATGGAGAAATTTTCTTAAGAGGATTGGGACTGGAACCCATAAGAGATCATTTACAGCAGAGGAAACACAAAATGTTTCTGCCCAGGGAACTCTGCAAAACAATTACAGAGCACAATGGTGAGCTGACAGGTGAAGAGGCAGGCACAGAATCACAAACACCTCCAAAGACAACAGGAAAACCAAAAAGATGTCAACTGTGCCCTACAAGAAAGGACAGAAAAAAACAAAACATACATGCTATGTAAGCAATACTTGTGTGTGGAGCATGTAGTTTTCATGTGTAAAAACTGTCTTGGGTGTGACAGGTGAAGCAAAGATTATTTCTGTGGTAGACTTTTGTTTGTAAAGGTTTTTATCTCTGATGTTATCTTTTAATTTTGGTAAGCAAGTAAACAGCTAATATGAAAATGCTGATTTCTATTCTAAGCACTCATTATATATTTGATATTTTCTTTTATTGATACCTTATTTTCCTGCTATGTACACATTGTACAACACAGTAGGAAGCTCCTAACAAAACAGGAAGAAAGGTAACAAGAATGGCCCATCACATAGGAAAGAAAAGCTAAGCACATGTGCTGTCAGTGTAAGACGTGAGCATAGAACAAGCATTTGTCATTTGTGAGGACTGCATTGGGTGTGACAACTAAAGTATTTCTGTTATAGAGTTCTATTGCTATTTTCATTGTAGTTCCCATAGGAATTTATTTCTGATGCTATCTTGTAGGTTTCATAATCAAGTATATAGCTGATGTGAAAATTTTGGTTATTCTAAATGCATACTTATTAAAAATTTAATACTTTATATATTTTATGTTCCTGTTACTGACACATTGTGTAATATATTAAGAATCTCCTGACAAAACAGAAAGACCAGCAAGATTTTTTTCCTACAAAAATGCCAGGAAAGTAAAATTTACATGTGCTGTCAGTGTGAGTGATACGTGTACAGGGAACATGCTGTTGTCATGTGTGAAGACTGCCTAAGGTGTGACAATTTGAAGATGATTTTTCTGTAGAGTGCCATTGGTATTTTCATTGTAGTTCATACAGGAATTTATTTCTGTTATTTTTTTGACTTTGTACACCAAATAAGAGTTGATGTTGAAAAATGTTTAGCTTTTTATAAACATTCAATATTCAAAATTCAAAAAATTATTATAGTAATCAACAAACTTCATTAAATTCAAATAATAGTTTACAGAAAAAATTTTAACACAAAAATCTTTTAAGCACACCACTGCTGCTATATATAATACACATTTACAACTTCTATACCACAAATTAGCTGTATTATAATTTTATATCACTTTAATGTTTTCCTTAAGGAACTATAATATGACATCTGGTCTGCTAAAGCAACATCCTTCTTTGCATTACAGTAATCAAACACCCCTGAGAAGCAGTAACAGCCATCCACTCCGATATTCACACATGTACCACTGATGGTTTAAGTCAGAGGAAATGAATGAATTCAAATCAGTTTCCTGGCAATAAGACAAATTATGTCCCTATCATGAATATATTAACAGCTACCAAAAGGAAAAGCCACAATTGATCTATAAATGTTCTACTACACCTATCTATCTATCTATCTATCTATTTATTTGGATACCAGGGATCGAACTCAGGACCTTGCACTTGCAAGGCAGGTGGTGGAACCACTGAGCTAAAAAATCCCCAGCCATAGTATGACAATATTAATAGACAGGTCTAATAATCAGAAAAACCTATTGCTTATTTTGTAAATTAAAACTAAAAAATGAGTAAAAGTATCGCTTGACTAAAACATTGAAAAGACACAAACTATTAACTATTGTACAATCTACAAAAGGATTAAATAAATCCTAGGCTTATAATTGCTCTCTGTAGAAAACAGAAAACACCTCAATCAAAATAGGTAGGCATATATAAAATCTCATTTTCTGTTAGAAGTAATTCATATTTTTTCAGCTTTAATTGAGTTTATTGGTACATTTTAGGGATACAGTACAGTTACATTCATTGTTGGGAATTTGTACCTCTACAAGACAAGTCTTGGTTCTCATTTTTTCCCCTTGTCCCTGCCCTCCCTTCACCCCCTCCTCCCCTCCCCATCTACAAACACTTTATTTCCATCTTTTCATTATCTCACATTTTTTTCTTTTCCCTTATTACCCTTCCCCTACCCATCCCACCTTCCCTACACCTTTAGCTCCTTTCTTCCCATTTCTAAATGTCAGTAATCTTATTAGGATCTTCTGTATTATTGCAGATTATTCACACAAGAGAAACTATTTGGTATTTACACATGTGTGCCTTATTTTACTTAGGAGTATATCTTCAATATGTATCCATTTTCCTATGAATGAATCTATTTTCTCATTATTTATGGCTGAGTAATATTCCATTTTATAGAGAAACCACATCTTCTTTATCCAGTTTCTTTAATTCAGTTGAAAACCAAAAATATCAATAGAAATACTTAAAATAAAATTGATTGCACTTAAAGCAAAATCAGGTCAATTCCAAACCTAAATGTCAAATAAGCAGGAAACTGAGAATGTTTAGTTTATGCATTTTGAAACTGCACTATTTGCATCTAAAAATAATGATCAATAAAAGTAAAAGTCCTAGACATGCTACTTGACAGTAAATAAGCCTATTTTAAAAGACTATTATTTAAATGAAATAAAATTAAAAGTAAATTTATAATTATGTTTATTGCACATTATGCCTGAGTTTATTACCTAACTATAACTCAAAGTGTACACAAATTTTTATAGCAACATTAGTGGTAGCAGCCAAAGTGAAAACAATCCAACTGTCCATCAGCTGAACCATAAACAAAATGTATACACACACACACACTGAAATACAATTCAGCCAATAAAAACAAGTTAAGTAATAGGTGGCACAAACCCTTATACTCAGCACTCTGAGAGGCCAAGGCATGAGGACTGGGAGTTCAAGCCTAGCCTGAGCAACTCAGCAACTTAGCAAGACCTGTCTCAAGATTTTAAAAAAGGGCTAGGGATGTAGCTTTTTGTGAAAGTCCTGGGTTCTAAAACAAAAATAGTATCTTCATAGCCTTATAGGCAGGAAAGAGTTCTTGAACATGACCAAAAAGAAAAGCATCAACCATACAAACAGTAAGTTAACAGTTAAAATGACTAATTTCTATTCATCAAAAGACCCCCAACACAGATGTCATACAGGAGCTATACATACTACTTTTGCAACTTTTTGTATACTTTATTTACAAATAAAAATTAAAAATAAAAGCACCCAATAGGAAAATGTCCAAAAAGCTAGTCTGATCAACAAAGTGTAAGGGAGAAGGCATCACAATTCCAGACTTCAAATTATACTACAAAGCTACAGTGATAAAAACAACATGGTATTGGAGAAAAAAAAGACTTGTGGATCAATGGAACAGAATAGAAGATGCAGAAAGAACTCCAGGCATATTCAGTTACCTTATCTTTGACAAAGGAGCCAAAAACCTTCACTGGAGTAAAGACAGCCTCTATAATAAATGGGAAAACTGGCTTTCTGCATGTCACCTAGACCCATATCCTCTCACTATGCATTAATAAAATCAAAATGGATCAAAGGTCTAAATATTGGAACAGAAATAATCTGCTGGAAGACAAAAGAGCTAAAACTCTTAAATACAGGTATAGGTAAAGACCTTCTGAACAATACCTTAAGTGCACAAGAAATAATACCAAGAATTGACAATTGGGATCATACCAAATTTAGAAGCATCTGCACACCAAAGAAACTGGATGAAGAGACAACCTACTGAATGAGAAAAATTTTTGCCAGCTACTACTGACAAGGGACTAGTATCTAGTATATATAAAAAATTCAAAAAAACTTAAGACTCCTCAAATTTAAAGACACAATTAGAAAATAAACTTCTAAGATGAAAAGACACTTCTTACAGAAATACAAATGGTCAATAAATACACAAAAAAATGCTCAACATCACTTGCCATTTGAGAAATGCAAATTAAAACAACTGATATTCCATCTCACTCCAGAATGAATAGCTATATGCAGGAAATCAAATAATAACAAATGTAGGAGGCTGCAGGGGGACTTCTTCATTCTTGGTGGGAGTGTAAACTGGTACAACTACTATGGAAATCAATATACAGACTTCTTAAAAAACTAAAAATATTTTATCCTGCTATTCCCCTACTAGGTTTAAAGACATCATATTACTGTAATACATGCATATCCACATTTATAGCAACACAATTCATAACAGCCTAAATGTCCATCAACAGATGAATGGATAATGAAAATGTGGTATTTATATACAATAGAGTAGTGCTCTACCATAAAGAAGAATAAACGAGTTATATGCAGGAAAATGGAAGCATCTTGAGACTATTAAGTGAAGTAAACCAGACACACAGAAGCTTAAATATTGCATGGTTTCTCTTAATAAGAACCCCAATGTATAAATTGCAAAATAAAGAAGAGACAGTAGAGGGGCTGGGGATTTAGCTCAGTGGTTTGGTGGCCTGCCTTGCAAGCGCAAGGACCTGATTAAAAAAAAAAAAAAAAAAAAAAAAAAAGAACAGACAGTAGGAAGAAGGAAATAGTGAGATTAATCTTTAGCATATGGAAAGGGAACTGAAAGATGGAAAGGGGAGGGAGGGGCAGGAAAAGGGATTGGGTTTTGTGAAGTGCTGTGTACACACACGAAGTCTACAAGAAATGTGATTATTATGGGGGGCTGGGGATTTAGCTCAGTGGTTCGGTGGCCTGCCTTGCAAGCACAAGGACCGGAGT